CCCTGAAAACACAATACGGTTAGTACGACTAGAAAACCACTTCTATATGTATTTCAGCTAAAAAAGAGAATTGGAAAGCTGACGACAACAAATGGTGAATTTTGATCTTAAATCGACTACAAGTGCCTTTATAACTGATGTTGAGGTCGAGTGCAGTAATACACAGATATCTCTTGAGTAAATTCCTAAAGAATCTCTTTGGTAAAATTTTCACGTAACAAAAATCAAGCAAAAAGCATTCGCAATATCATTAATAACCATAGCGTAGTACCAAACGAGCCATCCAACAAGAATGTACCAATGATAATGGTATTATGAATTTGAATTCTTCTAGTTGTTCAACGAGTGTATACTTTCTGACGATATAAACAGAAAGAATTGCTAGCGAAAAACAATTCCAGTCTATATACAATTCAATGCACATACGACCAATGTAAAGTCACGGAGGACAAAGTTCAAGAAGAATTACAGTATAAAAGATAGTTTATATACAATGTATGTACATAGAAAAATATAACAGAAAAAGCAATAGTCTCCGGAAGCTACACAAGAAAGGTATTCTTCCTTCCGACATGAATTTTTTTATAATGCTTTTTTATTTTATTGACTTTTCTCGCACAGAACTTCTTCTTGTGTGCATCGTCAAAATGAGATGATTATTGGAGACGACAAACGAGTGAATGTTACGAATAACAAAACGGCTAAGTCACCTTTGGGGAAATGAACATCTAAGGCATCCGATTGAGTTTCTTTTATAAAAGACCTAAAATGTCAAGAGAAACGCCATCGTGAGCTCCTGTGGGAGTCATACTTGCTTTAACAAAAAGTTGAGTTTAACTATTTTTTGTCTTTTTTTATAGTATGAAATACCTACATTGGTAGACATCGTCTTCATTTCCTTCATGACTCAGCAAGACCTCAGCTATGAAATAATGATTTGGAATCTTCCGGATGTTAGAAATCTTTGGTTTTATCTGATCATCATTACAAGACCTGCAATTTCCCACCTCTGATTTACTACTGAGCTTTTCCTGATGTTAACTCCAGCAATGAAACTTTTCTCACCCTATGCTATTTCGTTAATGGTTTTTCAAATGCCTGAAACTGGCACAATCATTTCTCCAACAAGACTCCATCGATATGGGGAAATAGAAAGTCGAGCCTTTTCAACACGAACCTGAGCTTTTTTAATCGAGAACCTACCCCGTTACTCATCCACCAACTCGGCCACGTGGAAATTCAAGATAAGTCAGCCAACGTAAGTCCAAAGTCCTGAGAACATATATCTTTCACAACACTTGGATATATATACCTACCGACTTTTTCCATCAAACATTGATGCTTTCTTTCACACGGAGCAACCATTTTTCATTCACTGAAAGCTCTTAGAAACAACATTAATATTTTCGAGAATGATCTTGTTGGTGATACGAAATTCGATAAAAGACAAACTTTTCCACTACCAAATGCTCATAGATCTCGTTGGCGTCAACTACTCTATTCTCAAAAGACAGAACCGCAGAATTATCTAAATGACTTCTCAGCCAAATCACTGAATTTCTCATGGAGTTGTTAAATTAGCTTGGGCGTTGGTGTTTGAATAAACGTGATACTCAGTCTGTACTTGAGATTTGTAAGTTTCATTGGAACCAACTTCAACATCGATTTTAATCCACATGTAAAGTTGCTGTCAAGCATAAGAAATCCGTGGAATATTGTGAATACTCGAGTATCTATTTATAAGGAAAATACGAGAATACAGAAGTGATGTTGAGATATGGTAATTTGCAAGCTAAGGGAAATTATGCATTTGTTTAAATGTTAGACTGTGGTCATAGTCACTCGTACATATTCCGACCTGCAAGTTTAAATTGAGCTGCTGATCCTTCGACGACTTGGTCTCTCTGGTATTCACTATATGCTTTGAACTATTTTCTCAAGTAGAGATACTATATATCTATGACTCGCTACTGCTTATGTACAATGAATTCTGCATGACTGGATCAAAATTTTAGGTGGAAAATATGTAAACTGGTGTAGCTCTTTGTAGAATTTCCCATTGATACCAAAAGTAGTTTGACAAGTTGTCTCCAGAAAATAGCTGTTCAAGTTTTGACCATATAAGTTTACGATGAGTTCATAAATGAGCACATTACTTTGGATAGAAGATAGAGTTTCATTAGGTGACTGGAAAAGTTTTCAACATTGTATGTAACCACAAATTAGAGAGCAGCTGCTGAGGCAAATTAAAAGTAGACATGGTGTGTTCAGAAACCAATAACAAGTACACATATTGATTTTATATACAGAATATTGATAATATTGATATTTAATAAATTCCTTTTATTAAACGATCTCTAAAGTCACAAATGTTTAATTATAACCATGTGCTGTTTGCTCTGAATAAAAATGAAAATATAAAACACGTGTTGCAGGATCAAATCTCCAATCTATTGTAGCAATACAGTAGTTTTTTTGTGTAGATAAATAAAAGAGTTATAAATGAATAAAAAGGAAGAGAATATCTTTTCCTGTTGAGTCGACGTGTTCCTTTCACTTTTATGTGACGATCGATCCTACCCACGCGTTTATGTGCTGAAGAAAGATGCAAAGAAGAAAAGTGTAGGTGAAAAACAGAAAAGGTTAACTAAGTGACCTTCAAAAGTTCACAGTTCAGCTTCTTCAGCCCTTAACTCGATGGATTATTTATAATTTTAACAAATTTAGCTTCATTAAGAGTAGGTTGTAATTTTTATGTATAGAATTAACATTTAGTATTAGCATTTAATGAATTTTATCATCAAGTTCATGGTAAATATACATAACTACTTGGAATATTTGCAAAGAATTATGATTTATTTTTAGATAATTAACTTTAATTACACTTGATAACTTTTGTAAAATATTTATTCTATTGGTAATAGGATAGTTTTAAAATCACTGAATATGAGCAGCAAATCGTCATTTCGTTGATCAAAAAACAATTTCATTGAGTTTACAAAGTCTCGATGATCGAATTAGTGGAAATGAATAGGTTGACAGTATCATTGAACAGTCAAGAGACATCTGATTATTCGTTATTTATTTATTGAATTTTTCAGTAATATAATATTACATAAATTTTTTTCTATTATAAATAATTTTCAATACTTTAGTTAATAAATAATATCAATTTAATATTCTTTTGATATTCGTTAAATAACGAAAATATTTTATTAATTTTTAATTCCAATGAATAACTCCATTATGTATTTCCACTTCATTGATCAACTCAGTAGCCAATTTTCAAGTGCTTTGTTTTTGCTATTTGCCAATTGATCAGTAAAAAGTGCTATTATTTTAATTAGTTATATAATTACTGAAAAAACTAGTAAAAATTTAGCTAATTTAATTCCAACTTGTATATTCTTGTATTTAAACTCTCTCAAAAGACCTGGATTGCCTACGGCGCTAGTGAAAATATTACTCTCGGGGATTGAAATTATTCCTCTCTTCAACTTCTATGATGTGGCTATTTCATCCGTATGAACAAAATAAATATTTAATGGAATTTTCGAAACTTTGACTTGAAATTGGTATTAAATCTGACATTTTTATGTGATAATTTTAATCGAATTTTTTATTAAATAAGTTATATATGTCATTTTGTCTAAATTGCTTGATATATAAATCATTGTTGTTCGTTGGTAAATACGCAAAATATTAGAGAAGTCATTTTTCACACGAATATTGGAAGATATTATGTTCATTCTCTTTTTCTCGCCGAGTCTACAATATCATTCAGATTTTGTATCTCACTCGAGATGAGAGTTCGGTCAACTATCTGTTTCTCTCCCCTTGAATCTACTCGAAAGTTCATAGTTCGAGTTTGCCAAGTCTATAAAATGCATTCCAATTTAATATCGACATCAAACAATGTGCGTTAAAAAGTTGTAATTATTGAGTGTCAGTTGCAACTCTGTTTTTCAGGCTTTTCTCACTTTATGACTATGTAAATTAGTATTGACTTATCTCGAGTTCGATTGAATATTTATGTTTCTTTCCGTTTAATAATGAGATAATGATATTGAGAAATTTATACCCAATTTGTTGGAAACGATTAAATTATTGTTTTTAGATATTCTTGCGTTAGAGTAAGAAAACGTTTAATGTGAAGATTTCAAATTTATGTGTAACATAAAATTCAGAACAGCTGTGCTTTAGATATATAGATGGGGTGAAAAAAAGTTGTCATGGAGTACCAACTTTTTTTTTGCCGGTTGAAAATGATCACCGTAACACGTAGGAGAAAATTGCCGATAAAAAAGGGCGGCTTGAGGTTTTTTCTTAAAAAAATTATTTTTTGGTCGCTTTCCAAATGCTCGTAATTTCCAATTTAATTGTTTTGAAAGGTCTGTGTTGTAGTGTTTTAAAAACACCAGGCAATTTTCTTTCTAGTCGTTATAATAAATTTAAGTAAAAAAAATTATTAAGTTCTTTGAGATAAATAATAACTTCTCCATTGTTTTTTTAGTTATTATGATTGAAACAATTTTTTTATTTAAATCCATCCTCTATGAGAAAATAGAAAAAGAATTCTTATTCATAAACTTCGCTTATTAGCCATTTTTGACAATTAGTGTAAAAATAATTAAAATTTGAAGTAAACTGTGGGGACCTAACAATGGCTTTCTAAGAGCCAACCTTTAAGCAATCTTTTTTTTGTTAGTAACTTTTTTGTCTATGTAATGAGAATTATTTTTGACCTACTAAAAAATCAATGTACTTTGACTTATTTTCTACTTCAGCATTACAAATTGCTCAGACCAATAGTAAAACATTTAAGGTATAGCAGTGTTTCAGAGTTAAAAAATAGGTAATCTGTTTGAGAAGAATTAACTCAGACTAAAAGTGTAATTTTAAACTGTTTAAAAGCTAAAATTTCAATGCGTCTACCGCAAAAAAGATCGAAATTTGTTTTTACTTTTAAATTTGTCTGACAAACTTAAATTTATTTCCAGAAAAAACGAGGGCAACACCGCTCCTTCAAGAATTTTATTAACCTGTAAAAATACAAAGGTATGAGTTGCATTTCGTAAAGACTAAAAACTTCCGTCTTGAGTAATTCATGTGATATTTAAAGTGCACCATTTTACTTTGGCTTTTTCCACACTCAAATTTACAAATTTTAAACATTTTTTATCATTCTTTAAAGAAGTCCATCTTGAACCATGAAGTGATCTTTCACAGATTTTCTCTATCTATCAATTTTCGCAATTTATCCTATTATTGGTCAGTGGATTGAAATTTTATCTCCGAAACTGCTCAAAATTGCAGTTTTAATCTGATTAAAGTCCGTTTAAACAGACTACCTATTTTTTGACTCGGGTTTATCCAAACACTTTAAAGGTTTGAAAAATTAATTAGAATGTAAATCTAAAAGTAATTCAATTCTAAAAAAAATTTTTTATTTTTATTTCAGTCATTCTGAGCTTGTTTTACGATTTAATTTTGAAAAATATTAAATTTCCAGTGCCTTTTTGTCCATAACTGCTGGACATAAAAACTTGATTTGAGTCTTAAAATTTTCAAAAGAATCTCTTTTTAATGTCATATTAACGAACGAATCTTCATTTTTATTAAATTATTATTACCTTATAAACATAAAGAATAAAAAAGGTGATAAATTACACGAGAAATAAGTGGCAAAAAAAATGTTCTTGCTTTAAAAAAAAAAATATGGCAAAACTTGTGTAATTTACACAAGAAAATGAAAAATCTATTTTTAAGCTGTACAAAAACCGTATAACTAACTGAAAGACTCGAATTTTTTTTAGAAGATTATGTGTAAATTTTTAATTCACTAGCTATTTTTTTATCTGAAGTATATATTAATTTATTAAAATCCATCAAATCAACGCTTTTTTTTTATTCACCAAATTAAACTTTAATTTTCTGACGCAAAGTTTTTGCATTTTACGCTTAAATACCCCGCTAGTTGCAGATATTAAACTATTTTTAAACTTTTGCAGAGAGCATGAATTAATTTAACTGAATGATTCGAGAAAGTGAACGGGCCAACAAAAGAATTAAAAAAAAAAAGAATGATAATAATATGTAAAGGAAAAACAAAACACAATGTCTACTGTCACAGCACTTTATCATCTGTAAATACAACGTGAAAGAGATCTCGTAGGAAGTTGAGTAGAGAATTAAATGCGCAATTCGCGAGTGAGGTCTGGTTGGTTGTGGGTCGTAGAGAAACCACTTGTACATTTCACACGGAGAGAACAGGTCAGATATATAAGAGAAAGTCGAGTAGCAAATATTTTGGTAAATACATGCAGCATGTACGTACGTAACGTAAAATAGTTTTGTTAAAATATTATTAATTATTGTATATATTCAAACGGAAACATCATTTATCGCTTTTGTTCTTAAATTTGCACTATTTTTACTAGTAAATTGCCGTTGGCGTTCTCTTTGTTCATTTTAAAATCCTCTTAATAGAGCAATAAGCGTATATGTTTATTAATTATTTGAAAAAGCACAAATATACAAGTTTTGAAAAATTCACGTAGCAGAAGATGAATATAACTCTTTGGAGCTTTGTTAGGTAAAAACAAGAGGGATGAAAATAATTAACGAAATAAAACAAATAAAAAGTTGGGAAGATGAAAAAAATGTTGACAATTAAAAAGAGAAGAAAAACAAATGACATAACAAAGTGAATAGTAGAAAAGATTAAAAAGACTTGATGCCGTAGTTATCCTTGAAGCGTGGCTGATGATTGTCGTTATATTTAGCCGCATACTTTTCTATACAGTGACGTTCATCCCCCTGCTGCTTCTTTATATATGCCTTCCTTGCTTTACCACCGAGAGGGTTAGCAGCAGTAGTACATGAAGAGAAGAAGAGAACGGCGTGGTGGTCCATAGGAGGGTGTCGTGATGGGGTGTCGGACGTCCCGCGCACGCCTGGTCGAACGCCACAACGTTCTGACTGTGATGCTGCCGACGTGGTGTGTGGAGAATGGTGGTGGAAGGCGCCGTGACGCTGGTTGGCGGTACTTGCACGCTAAAAGAGTAAAGAAGACCGAATGACTAGACGTACCACCGGATAAACGAGGACACGACACGTTAAGGTTTCAGGAGTGGTAGGAGAGACGCTTGAATTCTATTTATAGAAACGAGGACCTATACATAGCCTCAGCGAACTATGCACAGACTCTATCACCGTCGCACTTGCATCCCAGTATTCCTTCCTCACATCCAGTGGGAGTGACTGAGATCAACGTGACTGCAAACGAGAGCAAGAGGGTTCAATAAAACCAGGCCACCATCCTTCTGCATTCTCCAACCTCTCTCACTCGCGCCCCTGCGTATTTCTATTACACCAAAATACATGCTCCATTCAGCTATACGCCAGCTACTTTCCTTGATCATTCCCTGTTCTATTCGTTCTTCGTCACAATTTTGATTTTATTTTTTTTCTTCTTTTATTTATCCATTTATTTCCAACCTTCATCCCCAGTGCATCTGCACCCAAGGAGACGTTGATTCAGTTAGTTCAATGGTGCGTTAACAGTCCAAATTATAATTCGAGTGGCAATTTACCTCCCTCAATACAGAGAGACATATTTTTAGTATGTTTAAAAAACTGTTGAAATTTTTTGAGCTATAAAAAGTGAAAATAGGTCATGGACAGTTACTGGGGAGAAAGAACTTGCGACTTCATTCAAGCTACTTTTTGCTATACACACATACATATATAGATGCTGCTGCACGGGATTGTTACCTGTTTTACTCTTGTAATAAAAGAAAAGTTGCGTCATTGTGTATATTGCAACAGTACCCAAGTATTAAAAAGAAAAATAAAAGAGACAGTAAAGTGGAAAGAAGTTTTTAAATCAAATTTTATCTGTCAGGTGAAAAACAATAAACCGCTGTCGTGTCAAAGTTATAATAATAATCATGTAGACGAAGATGTATTGTACATGTACGTCGTAATTATTGGTAATAATAAACTACCATGATGTTGGTTGCTATAATAGAGTTCATGAAATTCTCTCATGTTGATGCACCTCATTAATTAAATAGTTGATAGGAATATGCAAATATTATTTTTATCTAAATACTCATTGGTAATTAATCAGACACATAAAATGTATGCTCATTGTATGTGATGCTTATTTTAACAAGACTGAAAATTCAACATTGATATGCGCCGAGTACTGTATTGATTTAGAATGTAATCAAGGATTATAAAAAATGTATTGAAAAACGATATGATGGTAATATTTCTGCAAAGCGATTGGCTTAACGAGAAGTACGGAACGAGGAAATTTAATATCGAACGATCGCATTATCTAAGGGGGGATCATAACGACATTGATGTGCTTTTACACTTCCATCATGACGAAGGAAAAATGTTCACAAAAGATAATTGCTCTGATATCTTGCTTTTAAACATATTTTTACTTTAAACAAATTTCCACCGAAAAAAATATCTTATTATTTTGTCCTTAAAAAACCATTTGCAAAAAATTACCCTCTCGCTTATATGTTTTTTTTTTCTTCTTCTCTTTTTTACTTACTCGTATTCTTATGGATTTAATAGGAAAAAAAAATTATCATTTTAATTTTAAAACTTCTTTCTTGAAATTTAATTTCGAGAGAATGAACAAAAAAAACAGATGACGACAGTTGCCTCTTATAACATTTCAGCACTGTGTCAAACATACTTTACTTTAAAATTCAGTTCATTTTTTTCACCGAATTAACTAGTCAAATACGTTTTTGCATGAAATTTTCCAAAGGTACATTTTTATCATAAATAGAGGATAAAGAAGGTTATAAGAGTGAGTTTAGAGTAAATCGAATACTCCGAAAAATTGTAAATTCAAATTCGGATTATTGCAGCTTTATTTTGTAATTTGAGTTGAAAAAAAGGCCAATAAAAGACTAAATTAATTTTTCAAAAATTTTTTTTTGAGAAAAAAAATATTTCATTTTTATAACAAAAAAAAAAATGATGAAAAGTATTTTACATTTTATTTATCCTGCAATATTGAGATGATTTTTCGTAAAACTTTTTTTTTGGAGTCAAATAAAAATTTGATTAAAATTAATATGAACGTCTATGAATAAATACAGGAAGAAAATATACCAACAAATGATTAAAAGCATTCGTTAAGAGGAATAATTGAGTTGTAAATAAAATAATTTCTCAAGATAATTCATAGTCTTAAGCTATGTAATTTATTCAGAGTCAGGATTAAAGAGAGAGAGAGAGAGAAAGATTGAGTCTTTTCGCAAGGGAGCGAAGGAAAGCCAATGGAAACCGGCAATTTTCGCAAACAAGTGACTGCCACGCGATACAGTGTATTATGCCAGTAATTCCTATCAAACATGCATATGTTACCTCACACTTGTGTAATTAGTACCTTGGTAATTAGTCCGAGCATGGCCGCATATCTACGTCATCTCCTCATCAATATAAACCACAATTAAATCAATCGAACACAATATAGGCAGCTTGTAAGGGAACATATAGCATAGGGTTAAGAGAATTCTAGACGACTGAGAATCAGATATCAATGGTCCTCCAGGACTATTTAGTTTAACAAACGACTTGAAGTATTTGTGGTGTTACCAAACTAATCGCGTGAAATTTCTGCGTCCGATTGGCCTCGATTCTCACATAATGCTAGCACAATTATGCTAATGAACGCCAGTAAATTTAACCAGGAGTTAACCCGATTGCCTGTATATGCCCTACTACTGACAATAAGAAATGACTTCAACAATGTTCATTTCATTATCATTAATAAATACAATTAAATATGCTCCCTATTCTATTTTATTTATCGTGGGTCATTCCGGTCAAAGTACAATGTATTTTTTTTATACTATAAAAATCGAAAGCTTTCGTGAATTTATTATTATTTATTGATACAGGTTTATGACTCATATTAAAATTTCAATGAAGCTTCGATTAAAGATTGAAAAAAAAGTAATTTTTTTTATTGTATTGATAAAATTATTTTGAGTTGCACATTTTTTATTGATAAGTTAATG